CAACCGCAGCCTGCCGAACCCCGGGGGCTTGTTGCGAGCGCAGTCGATGCCGGTCGGTTTCGCCAAGCAGGGGGGGTCGTTGAAGCAGGAGCTGGACCCCCAGGGAAGGGTGCAGGAGCTGTGCAGCGCGGCGCGGGCGGGGGATCACAGCATGGTGCGGGCGTTGCTTCAGGGGGCAAAGCCGATGGACCATGTGATTGACGCCGTCGATGACGGTGAGCTCCGGGGTTCAAAAAGGGGGTTTGGGTGGCAGGGTTTCTTGAAGCTCCCATTCGAGGAGTGTGCTTCAAGAAGATTTCTGAAGGGGCTTCTGACGGGAGAGAGTCTCAGATTACGAGCTGTATGCCAGCTCACCGTTAGCGAGGTCCCCTCTGTAGCACATAGGGGAGGGTGTTGCATCTATTTTTGAAGCTTCCAAAGGGTCAGCTGCCAATATTCTCGGAGAGCAAAGGCTTGTTGCCTTAGGTTATGACTGGGAGCTGGCCGGAGTTTCCTTTGGCGCACGTCTGGAGACTCAATTTAACATCTGGTGGGGGCAAAGTCTTCTGGTCACGACATGCATCTTCCAACTTCATAAACCCCTTGGCCCATCAAACGGGGTTTGTATTTGGTGAAGTCAGAAAGTTGTGACTTCAGAAGGTTGTGGAAAGATTATGCACCGTCTTGCTCACCTTTGCGGTGGTAGTTTACCGTGCACTTCAAGAATTTGAGCCCCCAGAATGAGCTCAGCTGACTGCTTTGCAAGGCCTAGAGCATTCTCCTTGGGTTTTATCACAGAAGTAGATGCTATTTACCATAGCCTCGTCAGCTGCCAACTTCCAAAGTCCTTCTCAGGGGCTGTCTGGTTCAACTGCTCACCTGAATCATCGCTGATGCGAGCCTGTCACGAGCCTGTCAACCATCTACATCAAACGTCCTATAACCGTTCTTGTCAACATCTTTTCAGAACCCCGCTTCGATCTAACAAGAAACTTGGTTGCTGAGATCGTCGTTGTCCATCTTGTGTTAACTGCGATGTTAACCCCCTGTTTTCTGCTGCGCAGCTACGGGTTTCACAGCACTGCACGAGGCTGTGCTGGGTGGACATTACGACATGGTCATCCACCTCTTGATGGATGGGGAGGCGGATCCAGACGCAAAGCTCTCCTCTAAGGTGGGCTTGTTTGCTGATCACCAGAGGGAAAGTGTTTGCCAATATTGCCTCGCTTAACTTCGTGCGCCAGGTTTGGACACGATCACTTTCGGAACCGGTGCTTTTGGCTCTCTTGCTTGCTCGAGACTTTGAAAGCGGTATTTTGGGTAAAGCTTTTGTTCCTAGTATGAGACTAACAATGGGAATGGAGCTTGAAAAGGATGGCCTATCAACATTCAAGTTGCTTCCTAGGTGTAAGCTGTGAACACACCCGCAGTCCTCAGATGTCATCTTACAAGGCCACTCCGTGCCCACTTCTCCACTTGCAGTGGGAAGCTTTACCGAGGGGCGTCGGGGCTGTCTACGTCATCTGAATGTGCAAGTGTTTGCGCGGGCTAGAGACCTTTTCCTAAGGCTACCTAAAAGCAGCTCCAGAAAAAATGTTTACCCGAGGTTAGGCCCTTGTGCATCATATGCTGAGTTGTGGCGGGTCTTTTATAGTACCCAAACCACCTTCTTAGAGGTTGCTCTTGAGTATTTTATCGCTGTCTGTCAGTTACAAGAAAATGGCCAAAGAAGCGAGCCCAGGGCAGATGACAGTCTCAATCCAAGGGAAGAGAGAAAGAAGATCAAGCGGAAAGTTCTCACCGTGCTGTGGCTCTTCATTGCAGGGACCCCCGCTCCTGCATGCTGTCCAAACGAACGACGAGAAGATGGTCGACATTCTGCTGAACGCTGGGGCTGCAATCGATGCCCGGGACTTTTCTGACAGCACGGCACTGCACACTGCAGCTTCCAAGGGCCATAGGTGAGGCTCAAGAATGTCCGAGTTTTGGGGTTCGGGGTTTCTTTCTGGAGATGGGCTAGATTACCAGCTCTCCTTGGTTGCGGTGCGGCTAAGCATAGCAGGGAGTACGGTAACTCCAGAGGTTCTTCATAGCCTCATCAGCTGTCTTCTATCCTGTTCGTCCTCTTTTGTTTCTGTACTGGAAATTTTTGACGACAAGTTCAGTGTGGCGAAACCTCTGTCGCTACGGCTTGCCCACGATGTAACCATCAGACATACACTTAATGCAAAATGATCACCCCGATCTCCCCCCCCCCCAAACAGGAAAATCTTGAAGAAGCTGCTGACAGCTGGCGCGAATGCGGGGCTCCGCAACCGCGACGGGCGCACCGCAATGGACTGCGCGGCTAACGAGAAGACGCAGCACGTGTTTGAGAAGTATCTGCAGCGGAATCCAAACGTGGACTTCAGCGAGCAGTCGGACGTGACACCTGGCAGCAGCACAGTGGGCGAGGCAACGTGGGAAGGGTACAGTGATCCTGAGGCGAGGGGCCGGAACGTTATGAGCCCCCCACGAGGCGTCATGAGCCCTCCGTCCAGTAAGGATGCGCATTGCCCTTTCCGTTTTCTTCTTTTGCTCTATCCTTTTTGTTGCATCTTCTTTCCTCGAAACCGAAGAGGACATTCGCTTATGCGCCCTTCGCGCGCTCTTTCATGTAGCCTCTATTTGATTTCAAATCACTACCTGAGGCTACCCTGATCTTGGATTGGACCAGTTCATCGGGCGTGTCCTTCTCGATTGAATTTCTGAAAGACTTTGTCAAGTGGTCGATTCCACTCCACTGCACGTAGTGTCAAGTTCAGTCTTTCAACAGCGCCTCATGGACACATATCGCTTTTCCTGTTGACATGCAAAGCTCTCCTGACATTTCTCACCTTGTTATTACTTCTTAAATAGACCAAGGTGTGCCCCAGACGTCTCCCGCTTCTGAGAACAACCTTGCCCCTGCCCTTCTCTTCAGGTCACTCACATCAGCGCCAGTGGAAGGTCCCCTCCGAGAGGGCGCACAAAGCCTACGACGCAAGCCCTCGGCACGCCCCCAAGAGCAAATCATTTACGCACGGTTCCACTTCGAGTTACTCCACCAGTGCTCCCTCGCACTCCCACACCAGCAGCATTCTTAGCCCCCCGAAGACCCTCATCAGCCCCCCAAACAATTACTATCCAAACGGGGGGTTCGACAGGAGCTGGAAGGTCCAGCCGCAGGACCCCCCCGAGGAGGAAAACATCCATCACAGCTTCGACAGCACGAGCAGCGCGGATACGGTGCACGAGCGGCCGGAGGAGAACTTTCTGGAGGAGGCGCTGAGTAAGGTGAAGGAGGGGAAGGTGGTTGGGATCAACCCGCTGGAAGCGGAACGCATGGCGCGAGAGGCGCGCGGTGCGCGCGCGCCCCCCCCTCAGGAGCAGCAGCGGCGGGCGACCGAGAAGTATGAGTCCCAGGGGGGCGGGGGTCGCACCGCGGGCCAACGTATGCGCTCGATCTCGGACACGTGGGAGCGATATCACGAGCCAGAAGCGCCCCCCCCGCGGCAGTACCAAAACGTCCCGTGGCCGCAGATTCCGTTGCTCCGGAGCCTCAGCGGGGAGTACCCCTCCAGTTTCCAGTCGGCGTCGGACCCGGGGGGCAACGATTTCGGCAGCCAGAACCGGAACCATTTGTCGCGGACGGTCAGCGAGAACATGGCCGGCCGATTTGACCTGGGCAGTCTGAGCCGGACTCTGGGGGCGCCCCCCGGTTACCATCACCAGTCCGGCAGCATGGGTATGGACGTTTCGGGGGGGCGAGCCCTGGCTCAGACGAGCTACATGGGGCGCGACCCCTGGGGCGAATATCTCGCACCGGAAGGCTGGGCGGTCCAGTCAGGAGGAAGCCGGCGATCGACCGAGCTTCACGCGGCCCGGGGGGACGGTGGGCACCAGTTCCCACCCCCCACGCGGATGCGGCTGAGCAGCAACCCCGCGAGCTTCCACATGGAGCGGCCGCGCGGGGGGGATCCTCCAAAGCTGTTGGAACGGCACAGCAGCGCGGACAGCGCAAAGCCGCAGGGCTTTGAGAACGTCGACCGGGCACTCCCCCGGGGGAAGAGCGAGCCCGGGTTCAGCCTGGCGTCGCAGAGCAGCCGCTCGCGTTTCGGAAGCACGAACAGCGCGTTCAGCGCGGTGGGGGGGGAGAAGAGTGATTGGCAGAGCAGTAGGAGCGGGCGGCGCTCCGAGGGGGGGGTGCCGCGGCCTACCGATTGGGAGGGCGAAGCGAGCGATACCGGAACGCGGCACGCGCACCGGCGCTCCTGGGACGAGCGCACGAGCGGCGACGAACGGGATTGGCACAGCCGAAGCAACCCCCCGCATCAGCATGACAGCAGGACACCGATGGAGAGCGGTCGCTACTTGGAGAGTTACTGGGAGGCCGGGGGGGGACGCTTGCAGGCCGAAAGTGGGGGTGGCGGGAGGGCACGGAATCCGCCCCCCCCAGTGGAAATAAAATCGCCGTTTTCTCCGACCCCACCAGGTTCCAACCCGGTTAGCCCCCGGTCCCGAGCCAGGGTTAGCGAGCAGGTTTATATGACCCCGAAACCGCCGACAACCGCCCACAATAAGGTGCCGACCACGTCCCCCCCGCCAAAGGCGTTGTTGAAGGACTCCCCCGCCCCCCTGCTCACTCTCGCCCCCTCGGCCGCGAAACCTGTGACTTTGTCGCTCGCACCGACACCGCAAGCAGCGAAACCCGCAGGCCCTTCGCAGGCGGCTGCTGACGTCAGCAAACCGGAGGCTCCTGTCGCAAGCCCGAGCCCCCCACGGAGTCGTCGCCTGCTCCCGTCGAACGCTCACGCCCGCTCTCAAGAGCCCGCGTCCGAGCGTCGGGGGGGGTTCCGAGTTCGGGGGGGCTCCGAGTGCGAGG